TTGGCATAGAGGAAGTGGGGCAATAATAATGTGTGATCATTGGATCTTCTCCAGCAAGTTGATAAATGCCCCAATATGTTCTCCAACATTGTAAATGTGGGTTAAGAGTTTCTTGTATGCTTCATCATTACACTCACATAATGTTAATTAACCTAATTTCAATCACTTTCTTTAGTGACATCACAGCCAAGCCCATTTATTGGTTTGTTGAATCAAAGTCTTTCATAATAACAAAGAAATTAATGAATATGTGTTTGATCAGTTGAATTATTTGATCAAAAGAAAATAATGTGAGTGTTGTAAGTTGTAAAATCAATCTTTTATGTATCAAATAAAAAAATAGACTAGAAAAAACATATAAAAACAATTCTTTAACATATAAAATTAATTTTCCTAAGAATTTTTATTTGTAAGAAATAATAATAATAATAATAATAATCCAACTCTTGAAGGAGTTTATACTGAAATTTATACAAACATTCATGAATGAATATTATAATATTAATTGACATTACATTAGTGAAGTGGATTTTTATCAAGTGTAATGAGAAAATTTTAAATTGATTAGGCTTATAAAGAGAGGTTTACCTTGTACTTTGTGCCAGTCAAGGTTGTTTTGATGGGACATGACAAATTGACACATGGACTAACCTCTGTTAACCCGTGTTAGGTTTTTGGCATAAACACGCACTTCAAATGCTATCACAAGGCCTGGTACAAAATGTGGTTGTAAGGTTTTATAAATTGGGTTGTTTTCTTTTTTTCAACTCACTAATTTAAAAAAGTTGCCAATAGTGGGTGGGGCATATGGAAATATGTCTGATGTTCATAATTTTCTTATTCAAGCTCATATATCTTTTACAAAAATAAACGGACAAAAAATACAGCTTATATATCTAATGTTGAACAAATGACACAATGATCAATGTCAATTTTTTTTTGTTAGAATTTGAATATGCTGCACATTCACTAACAATTATCATTGTATTTTTTGATTTTTATAATTAGAAGAGAATAAGTTTTGCTGCTTAAAAAATTAGCCAAAATTAAATTAACAATGAAATACTTTTACATCAAAACAATTTTTCAATTCAATATTTTATAGGTATATTATATTGTCATTTTAAATGATAACCAAATCTGCTGATGTTCTGTAAGTGAGAAAGTTTCCTATACATTACAATGCTTATTGATATTATAGTCGAAGAAAAAGAATCTTATATCTTTTTTCTGCTCACATACCAAATCAAGTCAACTCATATATCGTTACTAGCATATAGACATGGGCACAATAATATAGTCCTCCTTGAAAATAATATTTTATGTTATTACTGATGAGGTAAGGTGAATGGTACTTATTTTACATACAAATTATCCAAAAATAAATTATTTTATGATTGGCAAAAAAAATTCAGGTAATAATATTTCAATTAATAATATTCTGAAAATACTATGCCAAAAAATTCTGAAATTATGTTTTATTAGCATGTTCAATTAATTATCCTTTACTGACCAGATAATTAATTATCCTTTTCACATTCATCCATTAATTATCATTAATTCATAATTGACTAGGTATAGATTCAACGCTATAGACCAAGTTCACAACTCTCTTATATTTGTCACTTTTCTATTGTTTGTTATTAGTATTATTATTATTATTCTTAATTCAATTCCTAGGACTCGTTATTGATATCAATATGTATAAGCGCTGTTATATCTTATTTCAAATTCAATCAAAGTTGTTCCACGCTATATTGCAAAGTCCTATTTGTAATTATATTTGAATTTATATTTAAGATACATTGATGACTGACCTCTGATCTATTTTGTTTTAGGAGAAAAAATTATAAATGGTAGTTATCTTTTTGTTAGGGTCATTGTGTAAAGAAAATTACACAATTATAGGTGAAGAGAATATAAATAATTTATATATTTGTTTTAGTCATTTCATTGATAATGTGGAGGTTCTATGAATTGGGCTGCTTTCTTTTTTTTTTTTTTTTTCTTTTTTAACATAACTCATTAATATGGCCAAAGAGAAAAAGAAGTCATGAATGGTGAAAATTCATATTTTATACATAATTTATAGAGGAACCGGGGCAATAATATGTGGTCTTTGTATCTTCTCCAACAAGTTGATAATTAAATGCGCCAATATCTTCTCCAACATTGTGAATGCAGGTAAAGAGTTTTTGTACGCTTCATCATTACATTCATATAATGTTAATTAACCTAATGCCAATCACTTTCTCTAGGGACATCACAGCTAAGCCCATTTATTGGTTTGTAGAATCAAAAGCTCTCATAATAACAAAGAAATGAAATGGTGTGTGTTTGTTTAGTTGGATTTGATCAAAATGTAGTTTTGATCAAAATAACGTGAGATTATTATTATTATTATACAATTTTACACACACCATTTTACAAGTCAATTTTTTAACTAATAATTTATGTTCCAGAAACAATAAAAAAACATACACTACTGTAGGAAGAACTTTTTATATTGGTTATTTTGAACTTTTTTTGTCAGTTAGTAAGGGAAGTAAAAAAGATTGAAATGGAAAGTGAACTTTAAGGGACTAACATATTTAACCACACAAACTTCATGGAATTGTTTCTAAAAGTATAAACTATAAAGGCCTATTTCAAAACATGATAAAAAAATTGAAACAAACAATTTAATTTTTCCTATGATTTTATTGGAAGTGGGAAGAGAACCAAGGTGGGGAGATGCATATTGATGTCATTAAGCAAACCGAAGAGAAGATAGTACACTTAACCCAAAATGTTCATATATTTTTTTCTTAATACTTTTTTCCCAATTTTCAACAATTTCTCACGGAATTCACTCAAAGGAATTTTCGCTTGAAAATATGGTTCTACTTTCAAGTGGTAATTATGCACATTAAGCTTCATTCGGAGTTTCTCACATCTTTTTCAAATTTTCTTCTTGGGACTATCTTTTCATGGGAAAATGAAAATACCGACACCCCATGGGTGAGTGGAGCTCATTAGATCTAATCAGTGATAAATATAAAGGAAGAAATATCTATGTCCCTAATAATGAACAAATTGTTTGTCTTATGATATGTCTAGCTGTTATGAATTATATTTTTGGTATACTTAAATATTTTTTATTTAAGATTGACAAATTAAATAAATTTTTTGAAATCCTTTTGAAGCCTGGTACATAATTTTCTTGGGCTACGTTTAATGGAATTAGTTTTGTAATTATATCACAAGTCCGTGTATATATATCAATATATATATATATATATATTATAAAATAAAATAACATTTTTCCTTCCATTAATACATCCCTATCAAATTTATTTTTTTATTGGGTTAAATCATATTTTTAACTATCAACTATTCACCCAGGAGTATATGATGATGATATCCTAACTTTTTTGTGGTGCAATGTCCTATTCAACATATGAAATTAGTGCAATGTTGTCCCTATTATTAACAAATGTTAACTTTGACCATTAATTAATTTGAATATTTTAAAAAAATATTAAAAAAGATTCAAAAAAATTACAAACAAGTATCCTATTAGAATTAATATCAATTAAATCTTCTAAATTACAAAAGACCAATGTTATTTTTTACTTATGTAAAATAGTAAAATATCATTTTAACCATCCACATTAACCGGCTATCTACTAGGTTATTATTGAATTATATCGTTGACAGCAAAAACACAGGTAAGTAATTAAAAATGTTATATTTTTAATATCGTATTAATTAAAATATCTATACTTCATTACTTGGAAGTTGTTTAAATTAGCAAATTTTATTATCTAATTCTTGTTCTGATGATTGCAAATTATGGGGATGAAATTAGCAAATTTTTAGACCAACTTACTAAAGGATCTTTGGTCCTTATTTTCATTTCCAAATCTTTTGGTCCTTGTTTAAGCTTAACTGAAGCTGTTGGTTCTTTTCATGTCATTTCCCCATTTTATTTCTCTTGCAAATAAACTGTATAGTTGATTTAAAAATGAATTATAGATTTTATCAAAAATGAGTTGTAGATTATTTTTTGACTAAGCATGATTTTATATATATATATATATATAGCTTGGAGATAAGTACGCTATGCATATATATTAAAGTTATTTCATTGATAGCAAAATTTTTATGTTCTATCAATGAGATTGTGCTGAGTATTTTCACAACTCACTAGCGGTGAAATTTTTCAAGCCACTCAATCCATATGCATGTTAAAATGGCACAATAATAATAGTATTCAGAATATTGCGGTTCAGTTAATACTACTACAAATATATGATTTTAGATCAACATTTCATGCCGGTTAAAAAGAAACAAGTGTAAAAAGAAGAGGCGGTGACCTTTTGGTAAACAATAAGAAATCTGATTGATTTTCACACCTATTGTGACGAAAGGAACTGATGTGAACCTCTTCGTCTTCCCTAGCAGGCCAGCCCTCCTTCATTTTATTTTTTTGATAGCCAAACCTATTCGCTTTGCCATTTCTTATCATCGCGTCGTCTTAGTTGTAGGTCCACCCTATCTCTACTATCAAACCAAAAGCTCGACGGTGAAACAGATCCTCTCCATCTTCTTTCGATTTTATTTCCATTCTCATTTAGCACGTAAGGCAGATATTATCTTGTCTCTCTTCTCAAGAGAAAACAAGCTAAGTCATATGGATTGTGACAATTTTTTTTTTTATTTGTCCATATATTTTCCTTGGTCAAACCAAGTCAACTCAAATACCCACCGCACCATGGGAAAAATGGCAAAATATTGTTTCTTTGTTAGAATTTGACTACTTGGCACATTATTTAATTACCTTGACAAGAATTCGAATAGTACACTTTTTTCCCACCACAAAACATAAGTGCTTTTATTAGGTTCACATTTTATTCGGCTTTTATTATCATTATGAGCAGTGCTTGTCAACCTTGAAGCATATATATATATATAGCATGACCTTCTTCATCGTCCTCGTCAATCTTATAAGCCTTAAATCAATCCAACATGGCGAACCTTTGGTTTCATTTTACTGCTTTGCTATCTCATCATCTCCCCAACTTTATGTCACACCAATTTCACCAAAAATGATGAATTGGCACTTCTTGCTCTCAAAATTTCTGTGAGAGTCCCATTCAATCACTTGGCTAATTGGTCTAACTCTTTCTCCATTTGCAATTGGGTTGGGGTTACTTGCGATGCTAAAGGTGAGAGAGTATGTGTATTGAATCTTGCTCACATGAGTCTCACGGGCACCTTACACTCACAAGTGGGGAATTTGTCCTCCCTTGTTGAACTTGACCTTCATAGTAACAACTTTTGTAGTGAGTTACCGAAGGAGTTGTTGCAGTTACATAAGTTGAGAATTCTCAACCTTAGCTATAATGAATTTGATGGGAAAATTCCTGCATGGATTGGAAGTCTATTTGCACTTCAATGCCTGATCTTTCGAGATAATAGTTTTTGAGGTGTTATTCCTCCAAGCAAATCAAATTTGTCAAAATTAGAGACCATGGATTGGAATCACAGTTTCATCCATGGATCTATTCCACTCGAGGTCGGAAGGCTTCAACATTTAAAGATTTTATGTATAGCTTGGAACAATCTTTCAGGAAATATACCTCCAACTATTTCTGGCTTATCCTCACTTGAGCTGATGTCTTTGTCATCAAACTCCTTAAAAGGTACGCCTTTCATAATATCAAATAAATTTATATTTGCTCCAAGTCATTTCAAACAATTTTGTGTTAATGTTAGTGAATCTTAGGATAAGCTATTAATTACAATCTCTCGTTCAACCTTCATTTGCCCAATTTTGTTCATTATCAATCACAATCAATTTTGCTCATTATTCGTGTGTGTGTGTGTGTGGCAAATAGATGATAGGAGTGAAGGTAAGCTCTACTAAAGAATTATGATAATGATTGGATTGATGGATTTGAATTTAAATTTTAGATTTGAAATCTTGCATTTCAATCTCACATTTAAAATTCATGTACTTAAAATTCTTGGTTTGAGTAGTTTAAAAAAAATCAAATGAAAGACAAGAATGAGAAATAAAAAAAAGATATGAGAGTCATAGAGATATCAATAGTGAAAACAAGGAAAAAAAAAAACAATATGTTTGAAGTGGTTGAAATTTCAAATGATTAGGATGCAGAGGAAATTTGAAATTACAAAGGAAACATGATAAGAAATATATTTGGATTCATAAATTTTTGTATATCTAAATGAAGAATTCGATCCAAAATCCAAATCCTTGTTAATCTAAACACAACATAAAATAAGAGTTATATAAAAGTCAGCGGAAGCGAAGAAACGTGTATTGAGTGTAAATTTTTAGGTGAATTCTGTGTTTTTGTTTTTCTTATTAGCTATAAACATCATTATAATTTCAACTGAGATGCATAAAAAGGTGTAAGGCACAGAATTACCAACTTCTAATTGAAGGGGGATTGATGTTTAAGAGGAACATGCTTTGGATCATATAATTAAATATTGTTGTAGGTTTGTGAGCTATATAGATTGATTAGTGTGTGGCAGTAAATCAAATATGATCGCAAGGGTATAAATTAATTAAAATTAAACATTCATTATGGGCTTCCAAGGTTTTTTTTACTGTTCCTTGAGTTAAAATTTACTATCTATCCCCCAATAGTCCTTATCATTCTAACTGTATCCAATCAACAACTCTTCACACACAAGAATTTTATAGATAGGGTGGAAAAAAAACATTTTCAAAAGTAACTACATTTCAAGCCATCTTCATTTGAACCAGCGCAGTAGAATCAAAGATGGGTGGGAGATCTTTTTAATATATAAATATATACATCAACTATGGTATTTGAATTTTCATTTTAATTTTTATTGGCCCATATATCAAACATGATTGCCTTCAATAGGAAGATATCCATGAGTAATAAAAAAACTATATGAAGAATATAAAAACAATTAACATTTTGAGGATTTAGGGATGGTAAAGATACAAATTCAACAAAGTTAATATCTTTGTATAATATATATATATATATATATATTATATAATACACTATTTTCACCCGTTTTTTATATTATAGTTATTGTTAGCAATTCTAAATTTGTTCATATATGTTTTGTGAGTTTTGATATATATTTTTAAAAACATGTCATATTATTTATGATTTATTTTTAGAGTAAAATATATTCAGCTACAAGGATTTGGCTTTTTGGTTAGTGTACTGGATTCTGTATATCTAACCAAAAAGTTGGAGGTTCGCATTGGCATGAAAGAGAACAATAAAATATATTCATTTATCTTTAATTTCTTAATATTAATGAAGCCAACCCATACTTTTCAAAATATACACTTTAGTTGCATTTTTTTTTTTTAACAACTCCGCCTATGTTTATAGCCGGTCCCAAGCCCGGGTAAAGGAGGAGGGTTGTGTTAGGCCATCAACAGCCAATGTAAAAATTTGTTGAATCTATCATGAACATGGACAATAGACGTTATAATGTTAATGCTAGGTCGTTGCCCGTAAGTAACGCGCTGCATGGCTCGAGTACAGTGATAAGTGAGTTAGAGCCGCTGCATCGGCGCCCGGATGTAGTGTTAAATGAGCAAGGGCTACCGCGTCATTTGGACGCACGCGGCTAAAGAAGTTAGTCCATAAGAGCAAAATTAGATTTGGTACTTGGAATGTTGGGACATTAAATTGTAAATCTGTAGAGGTTGTAGGGGTTATGATTCAAAGGAAAATCAATATCCTTTGCTTGCAAGAAACAAAATGGCGTGGAGAAGAAGCTAAGGATATTCAAGGTTTCAAACTTTGGTATACAGGAAAAGTAAGTGCACGCAATGGAGTAGGCATCATTATAGATAAGGAGTGGAAGAAGAACGTTGTAGAAGTTAGCAGAATTGGAGACAGAATTATTTCTTTAAAAATGATAATTGGACGTGAGACTGTTAATATTGTTAGCGCTTATGCGCCGCAAGTCGGGACAGAAGCCAGTCTTAAGGAATTATTTTGGGAGGATCTGGAGGGGTTGATTCGACACATACCACAGAGTGAAAAGATTTTTATTGGAGGAGACTTTAATGGGCATGTCGGGAGGGAAGCTGGTCAGTATGCGAGGGTGCATGGTGGTTTTGGTTTTGGAGAGCTAAACAATGAAGGGCAAACTCTTCTTGATTTCTCATTGGCGTATGATTTTAAGATTGCCAACACTTGTTTCAAGAAGAGAGATGAGCATCTCATCACCTACAAAAGTGGAGCCTCAAGGTCGCAGATTGATTTTCTTTTGGTTAGGAACACAGATAGAAAACTTTGTAAAAATTGTAAGGTGATCCCTGGAGATGCTGTAACGACACAACATAGGGTCCTAGTCCTTGATGTGTGTATTATGAGTAAAATCCAAAAACGTCGACAAGTAGTAACACCAAGGATTAGGTGGTGGCAATTAAAAGGTGAGAAGCAAGATATTTTCAAGCGAAATCTTTTGGATAAAGGAATTTGGGATTCTCAGGGAAGTGCTAACATCATATGGGAGGATATGGCTAAAAAGATACGGGAGGTTGCAAAAGTAGTTTTGGGAGAATCGAAAGGTCCTGGTCCGAGAGATAAGGAGTCTTGGTGGTGGAATAATAGTGTACAGGACAAAATCAAGTATAAGAAGAACTGTTTTAAAGCCATACATTTGTGTAACAATGAGGAAAATTGGGAGAGGTACCGTATGGCTAAGAAGGAAACTAAGAGAGCTGTGGGTGAAGCTCGTTCTAAAGCTTTTGAAGAATTTTATAAGAACCTTGAGACGAAGGAAGGAGAGCAAAATATTTATAAGATTGCCAAGAGTAGGGAAAGAAAATCAAGAGATCTAGAACAGGTAAGGTGTATTAAGGATGAAGAGGGAAGAATTTTAGTTACAGATGATGAAATTAAAAATAGATGGGAGACTTATTTTTCTAAACTTTTCAATGATGGAGAGGATTCATCTAGTAACTTGGAGGATTTAGTAACTGGTGAAGGAGAACAAAATTTGTCATTCTATCGAAAAATACGTGATAAGGAGGTAAAGGAAGCTCTTAAGAAAATGGCAAATGGTAGAGCTAACGGACCTGATTGTATATCTATCGAAGCGTGGAAATGTTTAGGTGAAGAAGGGGTGAGATGGTTAACTAAGTTATTTAATGTGATTTTACGGTCCAAGAAAATGCCTGATGAGTGGAGGAGAAGTACATTAATTCCTATTTATAAAAATAAAGGAGATATTCAGAATTGTACTAACTATAGAGGGATTAAACTCATGAGCCACACAATGAAATTGTGGGAGAAAGTAATTGAGCACAGGTTGAGATTGGAGACAAGTATTTCTGAGAATCAATTTGGTTTTATGCCAGGTAGATCAACTACAGAGGCGATTTATCTACTAAGGGGATTAATGGAAAAGTATCGTTGTAAAATAAAGATCTACACATGGTTTTTATTGATTTGGAAAAAGCTTATGACCGTATACCAAGAGAAGTGCTTTGGAAAGCGTTGGAAAAAAAGGGAGTACGGATTGCTTATATTAAAGCCATACAAGATATGTATGAGGGGGTAAAAACTAGTATAAGAACGCCTAGTGGTCAAACAAAGGATTTTCCTATAAAGATTGGGCTACATCAGGGATCATCTCTGAGTCCTTATTTGTTCAACTTGATTTTAAATGTTTTGACGGAACATATTCAAGAGGAAATCCCGAAATGTATGCTCTTCGCGGATGATATAGTTCTTATAGCAGAGACAAGAGAAGAGGTTAATTGCAAACTTGAGTTATGGAGGAGGACATTGGAGTCGAAAGGTTTTCGTCTGAGTAGAAGTAAGACGGAATATTTATATTGTAAATTTGATAAAGGACTATTCGAAAATAATTTGGAAGTGAAATTGGGAGATCAAATTATACCTCAAGTGGAAAAGTTTAGATATTTGGGAGCCATTATCCAAAATGATGGCGAAATCAGTGGAGATATTTCACATAGAATTCAAGCTGGGTGGTTTAATTGGAGAAAAGCTAAAGGAGTTATTTGTGACCGTAAGGTGCCTAATAAACTTAAAGGAAAGTTTTATCGTACTGCTATCAGACCGGCAATGTTATATAGTAGTGAATGTTGGGCTCTAACGGGACAGCAAGAGCATAAAGTTGGAGTAGCAGAGATGAGAATGTTACGATGGATGTGCGGACATACACGTAAAGATAAAATTCGAAATGAGCACATACGTGAAAAAGTGAGGGTGGCACCTATTGAGGAAAAAATGGTAGAAAATCGGTTGAGATGGTTTGGGCATGTACAAAGAAGACCAAGGGAGGCACCAGTGAGAAGAGTGGAACATATAACTTTGAGTCCGATTAAGAGAGGTAGAGGAAGGCCTAAGAGAACACTCTTGGAAGTTGTTGAACGTGATCTCTTAATTAATAATATTTCTAAAAGCTTAATAAATGATAGAGCACAATGGCGTCTTGCAATCCATGTAGCCGACCCCACCTAGTGGGATAAAGGCTTGTTGTTGTTGTTGTTGTTGTTGTTGTAGTTGCATTTTTTTTTAACTCTATTGAAAGTAATTTATCAAACATTCTCCAAGGTGAATCATGGCAATTTAAACTTACTAGTATACCCTTCGCCCACACAATTAATTCCACTCCTAACCATATCACTCTCCCTTGCCTTTGCACAAAACAATGCATGCAACACACGACATAATGATGCACTTTTTATATTTTATTCAATCATTTATGCACCATAATAAATAAGTACAGTTCCAGCATACCCAGAAAAAATTACACCTCCAAAATTTATCTATTTAAGCTAATGAAATTTGGTCCAAAAATATTTGGTTGAAAATTAATTAAAAAAGAGCTCAAATTAGCGGCTACACGTAAAATAACTTGTTTTGTTTAAGAGCTTTGTCATTTTCCTATTTTCTAAATACAAAGTCAGGACTGATAATATTTTGATCAAAATAAGCTTAAAGGAATGTGTTCATAAAATTATTATTGTTACTTATTTTTCTTTTTTATCATAATCATTTTATACGTGAGAACTCATAATAATGTGGTTTTCTCATTATCATAATGTAAGAGATATTCCAAAAACAATTGGTGCTCTCACAAACATGAAAATTATATACCTAGAGATTAACAAGTTGTCTGGCCAAATACCAAGAAGCATTGAAAACTTGACTATGCTTCAGGAATTATATATTGACGATAAGATCTTAGAAGATATGCTTTCAACTTCATAATGTATAACTTTTTATTAATTTTGTGTTATTTTTTCATGTTATTATTGATCATGTGGTCCATCTGTCAACCATATTTGTCTAATATTGTTTAGAAATATTACTTTGTTATTGATTTTGTGAAGATTTTCATTTTCAATTCCATGTTCTCCTATGTGGGCATTCGAATAATCAAAGTTAGTACAATTTATTCAAATTTACTTCCCCTGGGAAAATTAATGTTTGATAATCCCTAGACTACTGTTACATTTCAAGGATATATACAAAGATGCATTGGAAATTTGATTTTGCTTTAAAAATTTGATCTTGGTCACAATAATTTACAACGTATACTATTTGTTAATTCTAATTTGGTATCATCAATTTTTTGTTTCCCTTGTGTTGTTATTTTGTCTTTTGAAACTTAATATTTATAAACTTAAATGCTAATAGCTTTCTAGTCAAAATACCATTAATTATATGTAACATTAGAGTTGAAATATATTCATTTGAGTGATAATTTTAATATGGAGTGCATCAATATTAAAATATAAAGTCTTCACTTCAGTTGTTTCTCTTAAATTGTAAAGAAGAAGCAAAAAATTGAAAAAAATATAAAACTTTAATCCCTATAGTTTTACCAAATTCTAAGAATCAGTCCCTAAGGAAAATAATGAATTATGATTCTATTTATCTCTATTTTAAGAGATAAAAACAGAGGTAGACATATACCGCTATACACAGTGCCAAATTTTATTTATTTATATTTAAGACGTTGGGCAGAGGTGAAAGAAAGAGAAAGAGACTTTGAAATTTGGTTATTGATCTTGTTTTGTTTTTCTTAGTAATGCTTAATAGTTAACCACATCATCTATCATATAAGAATTCATTTGCAATATTATCACTTGGTATTTCATTGGTTCTATCAGTAGGGCCGTGTGTAACACTAGTCCATTAAGGCTATCGTCTTAGACCTAAAAAATAGTCCCTCTGTCCTAAATTAAAAACACTTTTGAATAAAATCTTACATACTAATAAAACTCATCAAATATACTTTATTACCTTACTTTTTCAGGGCAAAAATATAAACTTTTTAAAATACCTTTTATTTAATACTCCATTGATGAAAGAATATTGAAAGAGAGAATATATGGAAAGGATAATATTAAAAAAGTATTATTAATGAAACCTTATTTTCATCAAATTGTCTTATATTTTAGAATGTTGAATCTTTCCTAAAAGTATCTTATAATTTGGGATGGAAGGAGTATTTACTTATATTCTATACAATCGGTCATTCTTTTTTTCGGCAAGCATTAATGTTAATTATATATTTTCATTAAGAATTTATTACTTACTTTTATCTTAGATAACCAATAATTAATTTTTTACTAAGCATTAATGTTAATTATATCTCTTCATTAAAAATTTATGGCTGCCTATACTCTGCCACAACCACTTTGTCATTTCATCTCTTCTTTCTCACAACCAAATCATTTCTTTCTCTACCATTATTTTCTTATTGAAAAAATAGCTCTTGATTAGCCGTTTCCATGGGCACGGCTTGATTGATAACTTGATTTTCCATTTGTCATATGAAGTCCACAAGTCGTTTTATTTGTTCATAGGAATATTGCACTTCTATTAAAAGAATTAAGAAATCCAATTGTAGATGGCCATATATATTCGGTGTGTTTGTTCCTCTTTTAACATTTATTTCTTATTGTCTTAATTTTTTATAGAATTTGAAGTGGTAAAATAATAATACATTAGGCCTTTAAAACAATTTCACCTTAGGCCCTAAAACTTCTTTAGATATCCTTATCTTTGAGTGTTCGGTTTTTAAGGTTGTAGAGGACTAAACCAAGAGCCAGTTCCTAATACAATAGATGGAATTGGATGGCCCAATTTGTTTAGAAAACCATGACTTTTCTTTTGATTATGTCATCATTAGTTGCAATTGTCATCAAATATGTCAAAATTAGAGACCTTGGCTAGGAATTTTAGTTCTATCCATGGATCTATTCTACTTGAGATTGGATAAATTCATATATTTTCTCTAAATCATTTCAAAAATTTAATGCGTGCTAGAATGTCTTAGAATAAGCTATTTACAATATTTTATTCAACATTGATTTTGTTGGAGAAGGGAATGTGATGTGTATATATATATATTGATTATGTTGAGTTGGGGGCAATAAATGAATCTACAAATTATATATAATTTTAATTTATTGTGATATTGGTAACTCTGTCATTATGCTTCCAACACGACATAGTGTATTAACATCATTTAGTATTCTCTGCACTGCCAGGAACAAATATTTTGCATGCTTTTATTAATTTTTGTCCTTTTCATTTGGGTTCATGGAGCCATAATGCAAGACATACTTTTTAATGTTTTTTTAAATTTATATGATTTTTTATACAACATATGTTGTCCGTGATCATCTCCGTAAAGTTATATTGTATTTCTATGATTTTCTATAATATATACACAAGCACTAATGTCAGTATTTTTATTTGTTATTGCGATAATGCAGGAGATATTCCAAATGAAATTGCCAATCTTTCAAATCTTAAAATTATGTCTTTGGCTCAAAATCAACTCATTGGCTACATACCCAGAAGCATTGGAAATTTGGTTTTGCTTCAAGAATTAGATCTTGGTTTCAATAATTTACAAGGTATAAGCCTTATACAAATTATAATTCACTATAGGTCATTTATTTTTTCTTACTTCTTGTCTCCTGCAACTTGAAATTATGAACTTAGACGCCAATCTTTTTCGTCAAAATGCTATTAATTATATACCCCAAAATGTAAAAGTCTAGAATAAACTTTTTTTTCACAAAACAAAAATTGGATTATATGTTTATACATAATTTGTAATATTTTATAATGTCATTGAGAACACAACCTGTTACAAAGATTTCAAATATAAAAGGGGATAATCTCGGTTAGGTCTCTTGCAAGGAAACTTTCATTAAATTTCAAAGGACTTTTTCTTTTTCCAACTGCTGATATATTCCTAAGGCAAATAAACCAGTACAGTACAACTGAAACCGCAAACGACAACAGAGCAACAAAACAAGGAAAGCAACAAAGAAAAATCAGAATCAACAACAACATAAGAGAGATCAGGCAAATAATTTTAACTAGTAGACACCCATCCTATTAGAACCAACAGCAATATGCTTGATTTTTAATTTCAAAGGACTTTAATGAAATTAAAAATCAATAATATTTACTAAATCCAATTTTAGTATAGGAAGGGCATTTTATTAAAAAAAGATGAGTATTTTTGTAAATTTTAATTTTTAATTTTATAAAAATTTCTTGGGACTTAAATGCAAATTTTATAATTTAAATTTAATTTAAAAATTAAATACACATAATTTTAATAATTTTAACTAAATATTGGCACGTGTCTCTTTTTTAACTTTCCCATTTAATGTCTCTTCAAATACAAACAAAAATGACACTGTACATTAGGTGATAGAAGCATAAAATCTATCATTCATAGATGCAGCTTTTAAACATATATATCAACACTTATAGTATTGTAGTTTTTATTTTGTTATATTGATACACATATATAATTATATAAAAAGTTGGTTTATAATTTTTGAAATTTTCTTGATAATTCTATCACCACAATTGTAGTCTTACCTTTTCTTAAAAGGTTCTACTTACTATAATTACCATAAATCTCAATGAAATAATATATTTAGTTTAAATATTTTAAAGTATATCATATTTTATATTTAAATTTTTGGTATATTTAGATTAAATATTTTAAAGTATATCATATTTTATAATTAAATTTTTGGTTAAATATTTAGATTAAATATTTTAAAGTATATCACATTTTTACTCATCCAAAATATTTACTCTTTTTCATTGTTTTCACTTAGTTAATTATAAGAATTTTAAGGGATAAAAGGCCCCATTTGTTTTAGCTTATTTTATGAAGAAATTTCTTTTTTTGAAAAAAATTATTTTCTGATTTTATTGATGTTTCTTTAAATTTTTGGAAATAATTAGAATAGAAAAGAAATTTTTTATTATTTTAAAAAACTACTTTGAGAAATAATGTTTTAAAAATGTGGGATGCAAGAAGATATACTAAGATTTTAAAATAATTAAATAACAAATTATTTTTTAAACAATCAATAAAGATATTATAAAATTTTAAAAAATAGTCAATAATTACTTTTTAATTATTGTAACCAAACATAAAATAATGTATGCTTTTTATAAAATTTCTACAAAATAATTATTTTATAAAATCCCTAAATTATCTAATAATAACCTATTTTTTATTCTTTAACAAATGGACCTGAATGAATACATAATGTTATGTTAATGTAAATAGAAAGTAAAGTTTGGATGGATCCAACGTCTAATTCAACGTTGTCTTAGCCAATTTCGTTACTTATCAATCACTGTCAATTTTGCTCTTATTGGCTATAAGCAGCATTAGAATTTTAATAAGAGGAATAAGCGGGCAAGAAATCAAATTCTAATTGGGCTTTATAAAATGATTAGAGTGGCAGCATGGCATATATTGGGATTTATTTGAACAAAAATTAATCTTTAGCATGAAATGCCAAAAAAACAAGTTCAAGCTATATCATATATGGATCCGCCACTAAAATAAATCAAACATATGATGACTGGTCATAAAATGTGTAATCAATTTATCCAACTGATAGCTTCTCACACCTAAGAATTTTATAGATGGCATGGGGGAAAAAAAAAATTTGTAAAGACAACCAAATTATTAAGCTATCTCCATTATTTTGAGTTGGGGCTGAAATGAGAATCAAAGGTGGGTAGGAGATTTTTTTTAAATATATATATATACACACACACACATAAACTGTGGTATATATTTGAATTTTCATTTTTAAGTTATAGTATTGATATTTTTAAAATTAATTTACTAATTTTATGATTTGAGAGAAATGTTATTACATAATTGATGGCGTATAATAATATAAAACTTATAAACGCCTTGTTGGCAAACGATATGTAAGTACATCTATAAGTAATTTTTAAGGAAGGCTTCTCTCAGCCCTGGTGAGCCCCCAAACCCACCTCACCTAAACATTCTAAAAGCAAATATAAAACTTATAAATACAAATGTATAAAAATAAAACATATTAACAACATATTAACTTGGAAAAATGACAATAAAATACCATCAAAATATAAAAATAACAATTAGGTTCCTCTAAATATCATAATTCCTCTAAAGTCCTTGGATACCTTTCTAACATTAGTGATTTCTGTTTAGCAATGAAAAATTTATAAACTTTATATGATATACATTTTGGTGGTGATGAAAACTATTTAGCTATTTAAAAAATAAAGAAAATAATTTACGCTTTTTATGGGTAAGTCTATTGCATATAAATCCAAAACACATTTTTTCTGTGTTATTGATTTTTTTAAAATTTTCCTTTCCAACTTCGTGCCCTCCTCAACGGGTATTCAAATTATTAAAGTTAGGTTATTTTGTGCATTGATGAAAAGAGCTTTGCGAAAGTTTGCTTCCTTGTTCAAATTAATTTCCCCTGAGAAAATTAATGTTTGGTAATTCTGTAACTGTTATTTTCAATGCCATATTGATGAGAATAATTTTTTAAATTGGTTCATATAAAATAATCCAATGTTCTTTGTAATCCACTTTTAGCTAGACAATTTGTCACTTTAGATGTTTTGGAATTTCTTTTGTAGTTACGTTAAAAGCATGTAAAATTTTTCAAACAATTATTGCACAACATGTTGCCTAAAATTTGCATGTGTTGTTAGTAGGGGTGTGCATGTAGCCTGATTGCTTGATATGCCCGCTCGAACCTAATAAAATTTTGCCCAACCCGGCCCTAAAAAAAGCTGCCCGACATGACTTGGGCATGTTTGGGCAGGGCATTATTCGGGCCAGGGCATGCTGCCCTGCCCATTTGGCCCAGCCCGAGTACATTAATATATTTTTTAAATTTTTAAAGGATCAATTATATTAACTATTAAGATTTAAGGAAAGATGAAAAGAGGAATTGGGAAGAAGCTTTTTGTAAATTAAAGTCTACTCTGTGAAATTTTTTTTTTTTCATGATGCTCCAAACTTTTATAAAATTTATTGTTTTTAATGGATTATTGTAGCTATTATTTTGGATTGCATTATGGATAATTTCACTATGTGTCAAGACTTATAATAGTTTTATATTTCAAGTTAGATGTTGAATTATAGATAATTGGATATCATAGCTGTTATTTTGTATTTATGGTTTACATTTTTATGAATGTTATTTTGAGTTGATGGGTTGGGTCATTGTTATTGATTTATGATAGTTTTATTTGAAGTTGATGGAAAAAGAAATTATTTGATGGGCAGGGCAACCCGAAGGTGCCCAGCTTGCCTTGCCCAGCCCAAGCTAATAGGGCATTTTGCAGGCAGGGCTGGGCAACGCGCTACATTTTTCAGCCCATGCATCCTTTGGGTAGGGCATCGGGCAAGGCTTTGCCAACCTAGCCCTGCCCATGTGCACCTCTAGTTGTTAGACTTGGTAAAAAGATTCATTATATATGGACTCTCATTGGATTAATATGCCTTCTTTTTTGTGTCTTTATCACATCCATGGGAAATATTCTCAATAGATATACCTGTAACCAATTTAAATTCAACATCTTTAAGCATTAACTTTTTTTGTTTTTTGTAGGTGATATACCAAATGGTATTGGAAAATTGGATATGCTTCAAGTGCTAGGTCTTGAACATAATAATTTACAAGGTAACTTTCTCATCAAATTATGATATTCTGGCTACCATAGGTTTTCTCCTCTCTTTAATTGTTTTCTCATTATTACTATGAAGAACCATGCATTTATTTCCTACTTTATCTTGCTTTAATAAAATGTGTATGGGCGAAATTTTCTTTTCTAACAATTCTTTAAACAAAAAAATTTTCTTTTCCGTAAAATATTAGTTCCGGTTGGTCAAAAACAATTTATTTTCCAATGAATTTAGAAATGCGGTTTAGGATGTCGTGTGGAGCATTTTGTTTGATTGGAACAAACGAAGCTCCGTTCATAGCGAGGAAAATAGTTATCAATATAACTACCTATCTTTCCAATATGATATCCATGTATCATGTGAAGTAAAATTAAATAATTGTGAAGAACCTATGTGGACCATCACCGTTCAATCTTAAATATTTTGAATCTATGTGAAGCTCAGTAAAATATATTTTGAAACATTAAAGACTATATATAACCCAAAAAGCTGTTCTTTTCTTTTCGTCAAATAATTACACGTTGACATAAATAAGTATAATATTAAAGAAATTATTTTAGTATTCAACTTACATGTTATATAGAAAAAATAACTAGTATTTTATGATCTAATCTTTTTTTTTTTTCTGGCTACATGTAGCTTGTGATATTATATTAAGAGTGTAACGTTGAATGCATATAGAAACAAAAAGGGGAGAAAAAGAAAAGAAGAAAAAAATTGCATGCAATTGGCACTGTAGGAGAGCATCCACTTCCATGTGTCACGGGTTATATTTTTATTTTGAAAATCGGGACAGTAATCATCAAACTATAAGTATATGATTATGTTTTCTTTTCCACGTTTTTTGTAAATAATAATTATAAAGATCACATCTTTGTAAGCACATTCCATGAAATATTTTATGAGAATTGGATGATTCTTGAAATTAAATAAAAAAAATTATAAACTTGAAAGATGATGCCTAGCTGAGCATTGGCCTTAATCATCTCATAAAGTCATTGTATCATTTAACACATTGCATGAAACTTTAAACTTACAAAATCTATCTCTCCTTACAAAGGCATCTCATATACTTGAATTTAATTTAAATTTATTTATTAAAAACTTGATTGTACAAAGACATCTTAATTAATTTTCTTTGTTATAATTATTGTTAGTAATTCTAATGTTTTTATATATGTAAGTCTTTTATGATCAAAGTGTTTTGTAAATTTTGATATATTGTTAGAAAATTTTCATATTATTTATGATTCACTTTTAGAGTGAAATATATTCATTTATATTTAATTTTATTAATATTACATAAGCCATCACATAATTTTCAAAAATACGCAATTAAATTTAATTTTTAAATCTTTAAAAAAAAATACTATATCAAAGATTCTAAAATACATTTTTATTTATTAAAAAGTGCATCTTAGCAATTTAAACTTACTTGTTTACTCTTGTTAAATGCCATTGATTCCATTCCTAATCTATACCACTCTCCCTCCCCTGCCTTTGCACAAAACAATGCGAGTATGCAACAATGCACCTTTTTTGTATTTATCTAATTATTTATGCAACAATTTCTACCTTCCCATGCTCTTGCAAGCGACAAGAAAGGCATTATTTACATTTATATCTTCACCATCATTGATCATTGTACTTTAGAGCCCTCAGTTACACATTTAGATTCGTTGCCTACATGCACGTGAATTGTGTTGTGAAATTTACAACACTTTGGTATCCTTCAAATATAGAATTGTATTGCTCAGTTTTTTGGACTACAAAATAGAGGTAAGCATATTATACTGTTATTGATTACATGAAGATTTACGCTTCCAAATCTGTACTCTGTTCATTTAAGTCTCTCAATAGTTTCTTTTTCTTCTATTTATTTTTCAATAATCAATTCATTGAAGATTTTCCTTCTAATTTGAACTATTAGATTATGGGTTGTCTATGTCTTTAATTTATCGCTCTATCTCAACTTCTCCTATACTGTTTTTGTTATCTTCTGTTCTTTTGACTTCTCTTCTCTCAATCTCAGAAGTCGGTCTTTGTTGCTTGTTTGAAAATCTAATTTTTGAGAAAAAATCTAAAAAAAAAACAGAGAGAATTGTGGAATGATGTTGAATATATACTTTTTTTTATATAAAGTTTGCCTAAAGTGAAAGTTATTATTTACATAATTATTATTTAGACCCTTATTAGAATTTCAAATTGGAGATAATATTTAAAATGTGTTTAAATATAGATTTATATATTAATGTTGGAGTATTGTAAGTGTCCAATCATTATCGTAGTTTGTTTAATAATTGAGATAAAAGTTTTTTTGGCCAAACATAAAAACAAGAATAAGTTTACTAGTTAACCCCGCAGCTTTTAATTTGTCAAATGAATAATACAATCTTGTAAAAATCCTTTTACCTCAAATCAAATATGTGATTTCACAAAAAAAAAATGTGAATTTCAAAGCCAAAATAATAATAATAATAATAAAACGAAATCTGCTTCTCAAGTTAGAAAGCTTCATTCTCTCTTTTTAACATTCCTACTTAAAATACAAATAAAAATAATTTAGCACCACTAAAATAAAATTAGAGAATCTGGATAATTCTTTATGCTTCAAAACTCATTTGCAATACGTGTTGGAAACTTGACTATGCTTGAAGGTTTGGACCTTTCATCTAATAAATTACAAAATACTCTTTCAGCAAATGATATAAGTGCTCTTCATTTTTTTTCTTTAATGTCTGTACTTATGAAAAAGTGTTTGTACATATAACAATGAAAAAGTAAACATATAACAATGCCTGTACTTATGAAAAAGTGTTTGTACATTTTTGTTGTTATATTGCAAGATGCATTCCCAAAAATAACTTGCAGCAATTTTTTTATTCATTGGCAATATTTGTCTACATGCAAGCATGTTGAAGTGCAATATTTTAAACATATGCAAAGAAATATTAAAAAAAAAAGTAAATGATTGTAAGGGACCTGCGTGAACCATCACTGCACTATGCTCTAAAATATTTTTCTAAGTTATGCAAAGGTCAATAAACATGTATTAAAAACTGAAGAATGAAAGAAAATATATATAACGTGTGAAGATTTGTCTGATATTGTTTAGAAATATTACTCTGTTTACCTCTTTTTTTTTTTTTTTGGGGTTAAAGATAGAGATGAGCATATAATATTGTTATTGATTTTGTGAAGATTTACATTTTTCAATTCCATATTCTCCTATATGGGTGTTCAAATTATCAAAGTTAGCACAATTTTTTCAAATTAACTTCCCCTAAGAAAATTATTGACAGATAATTCTTAGACTTCCGTTATTTTTCAAGGATATATACTATGATGCATTGGAAATTTGATTTTGCTTTAAAAATTTGATCTTGGTTACAATAACTTAAAAGGTATACTATTAGTAAATTGTAATCTGGTATCGTCAATTTTTGTTTCCTTTGTGTTGTTGTTTTGTTTTTTAAACTTAATAATGATAAACTTAAATGCTAATAGCTTTCAAGAAAAAATACCATTAATTAAATGTAATGTTAGAGTTGAAACATATTCATTTGAGTGATAATGTTAAAATGGAGTGCATCAGTATTAAAATATAAAGTCTGCCCCTCAGTTATTTCTCTTAAATTGTAAATAAGTAAAAAATTGAAAATTATAAAAGTTTAATCCCTATAATTTTACCAAATTCTAAGAATCAGTCCCTAAAGCAAATAATGAATTATGATTCTATTTATCTCTGTTTTAAGAGCCAAAAACAGAGGTAAACATATATGGCTATACACAGTGCCAAATTTTATTTATTTATATTTAAGGTGTTGTGCAAAGGTGAAAGAAAGAGAAAGAGACTTTGAAATTTTGTTATTGATTTTTTGTTTCTTAGTAATGCTTAATAGTTAACCACGTCATCTATCGTATAAGAATTCATTTGCAATTTTATCACTTTCCTAGTATTTCAGTGGTTCTATCAGTGGGGCCGTGTGTAACACCAGTCCATTAAGGCTGTCGTCTTAGGCCTAAAAAAAGTTCACTAATATCCTATATAATTAGTCATTCTTTTTCTTATCAAGCATTAATGTTAATTATATATTTTCATTAAGAATTTATTACTTACTTTTTTTATCTTAGATAACCAATAATTAATTTTTTACTAAGCATTAATGTTAATTATATCTCTTCATTAAAAATTTATGGCTGCATATACTCTGCCACAACCACTTTGTCATTTCACCTCTTCTTTTCTCTCAACCAGATCATTTCTTGCTCTACCAATATTTTCTTATTAAAAAAATATAGCTCTTGCTTAGTTGTTTCCATAGGCACGACTTGATTGATAACTTGATTTTTCATTTGTCATTATGAAGTCCACAAATCCTTTTATTTGTTCATAGGAGTTTTGCACTTCTATTAAAAGAATAAAGAAATCCAATAATAGATGGCCATGTATATTAGGTGTGTTTATTCCTCTTTTACCCTTTATTTGTGATTGTTTTAATTTTTATAGAATTTGAAGTGGCAAAATTACAATTCATTAGACCTCTAAAATTATTTCGTGTTAGGTCCTGAAACTCCTTTAGATGTCCCTATCTTTGAGTGTTTGGTTTCAAAGGTTGTAGAGGACTAAACTAAGAGCTACTTCCTAATATAATAGGTGGAATTGGATGGCCCAATCTGTTTAGAAAACCATGACTTTTCTTTTGGTTATGTCATCAGTAGTTGCTATTGGTATCAAACATGTCAAAATTAGAGATCTTGGATTCAAATTTTAATTCTATCCATGGATCTATTCCACTTGAGATTGGAAGGCTTCGAGATTTAAAGATTTACATTTAGCAAGGAATGATATTTCAGGAAAAATACCTCAAGCTATTTCTAGCTTATCCTCACTTGAATTGATGTCATACAACTCCTTAATAGGCGTGTCCTTAATAATATAAGATAAATTCATATATTTTCTCTAAATCATTTCAAAAAATTTAATGCGTGCTAGAATGTCTTAGAATAAGCTATTTACAATATTCTATTCAACATTGATTTTGTTGGAGAAGGGAATGTGATATATATATATATTGATTATGTTGAGTAGGGTGCAATAAATGAATCTACAAATTATATATAATTTTAATTTGTTGTGATATTGGTAACTCTGTCATTAAGCTTTCAACACAAAATAGTGTATTAACATCATTTAGTATTCTCTGCACTGCTAGTAAAAAAAATATTTTGCACGCTTTTATTAGTTTTTGTCCTTTTCATTTGGGTTCTTGGACCCATAATGCAAGAGATAGTTTTTTAATGGTTTTTAAATTTATATGATTTTTTTTATACAACATATGTTGTCCATGATCATCTCCATAAAGTTATATTGTATTTCTATGATTTTCTACGATACATACACAAGCACTCATATCAGTGTTTTTATCTGTTATCACGATAAACATAATTTTGTTAAACATAATTCTCTGCACTCATACACAATGCAGGAGGTATTCCAAATGAATTGCCAATCTTACAAGTCTGAAAATTATGTACTTGGGCTATAATCAACTCATAGGCTACATACCTACAAGCATTGGAAGTTTGGTTTTGCTTCAGGAATTAGATCTTGGTTCCAATAATTTACAAAGTATAATTTTTATTCAAATTATAATTCACTATATATTATTTCTATTTTCTTACTTCTTGTCTCTTGCCACTTGAAATTACGAATTTAGATGCTAATCGGTTTTGTCAAAATGCTATTAATTATATATCCCAAAATGTAAAAGTCTAATACAAACTTTTTTTTCACAAAACAAAAATTGGATTATATTTTTATACATAATTCGTAATATTTTATAATGTCATTGAGTACTCAACCTGTTACAATGATTTCAAATATAAAAGGGGATAATTTCAGTTAGGTCTCTTGTAAGGAAACTTTAATTAAATTTCAAGGGACTTTTTTCCCCCCCAACTGCTGATATATTCCTAAGGCAAATAAATCAGTACAGTACAACTGAAACTGCAAACAACAACAAAGCAACAAAACAAGGAAAGCAACAACGCAAAAATAGAATCAGCAACATATGAGAGATCAGCCAAATAATTTTAACTAGCAGATAAGGCGAAGGAAGTGACGGTCAAGACACCCATCCTATTAGAACTAGCAACAATATGCTTCATTTTTAATTTCAAAGGACTTTAATAAAGGAAGAGTATTTTATTAAAAAAAGATGAGTATTTTTGTAAGTTTTAATTTTAAATTTTATAAAAATTTCTTGGGATTTAAATGCAAATTTTCTAATTTAGATTTAATTTAAAAATTAAATAAAAATAATTTTAACTAAATATTGGTCCATGTCTCTTTTTTAACTTCCCCACCCTAATATATATCTTCAAATACAAGCAAAAATGACATTGTACGTTAGGCAATAGAAGCATAAGCCGATCACGAAATCTAACATTCATAATCGAGATGCAACTTTTCAACTTATATATCAACACTCATAGTTTTGTACTTTTTATTTTGTTATATTGATATACAGACAAATATATAATTATATAAAGAGTTTGTTTATAACTTTTAAAATGTGGTTGATAATTCTATCATCACAACTTTAGTCTTCTATTTTTTAAAAGGTTCTTCTTACTATAACCCCCATAAATCTCAATGACATCATATATTTAGATTAAATATTTTAAAGTATATCTTATTTTATAATTAAATTTTTGGTTAAATATTTAGATTAAATATTTTTAAGGTATATCACATTTTTACACATCCAAACTATTTACTCTTTTTGGTTGTTTTCACTTAGTTAATTATAAGAATTTTAAGAGATAATGGCCCATTCGTTTCAGCTTTTTTTTGGAAAAAAAATCACTTATTTTAAGAAACTTCTTTGAGAGAGAATGTTTTAAAACTGTGGGATGCAGGAAGATATGCTAAGAGTTTAAAATAATTAAATAATGAATATAAAATAGAAATGAAGGAAGAAATATTCGCAAGTGGTAACAAGTTTGGTCAAATACCGAAAAAAATTGGTAAAAATTAACATAGAAGGTATACTTTCAGCTAATCGTAATGTTTAACTTTTCTTCAATTTTGTGTTATTTTTATGGCTTGTTATTGGTGACGTGGTGTGTTCCTCAACTGCATATAATATAGAATAGAAGCAATGTGATCAAGAAGATATTTCATATTGGTGATTAATTATTAAAGAATAAATGAGCAAATCTTGAACTTTAGGTCTTTAGCACCATGGACTTTAAACTCGTTTATTGTGCAAATTATTCACTCAACTTTTAAAAATAATACAGTCTTGTCCTTGCCCTTAACAAAAGTTAGTTTTGACAGTTAGTGACTATGAAATGAAAGAAAATGACCTCAAAAATTGCATAAAAGAACCTACAAATTACAAGCAAGGACAAAAATTACAAAAAAGGACCAAAAAATCTTTTTGGTCATTTTTATAATTTTTAAAATCCTTTTATATAATATTATAGTCCACTAATGGTCAAAGTTACTTTTATTAATGATAGAGGCCATATTACATTGTTTTCAATAGTTGAGTGAACAACTTGTACAATAAACAAGTTGAGAATATATAGTACAACTGAACCTAAAATTTAGGGGGTAATTTGCTCATTTCCCCATAATTAAATATATATTCCTCACAAATCTCATCTGAAGTCAATCTATTCCTTCAACCAAACGTGTCCTCATCAAACATTTTGAAATGAAAAATTTATAAACTTTATATGATATAAACTTTGGCGGTGGTGAAATCTATAGCTATTTAAGAAATAAAAGAAAAAATAATTTTTTTGTAAGTCTGTTGCATATATCCAAAACACATATTTTCCTTGTTATTTATTTATTTTTTTGAATATTTGCCTTTCCAACTTCGTGCCCTCCTATATGGGTATTCAAATTGTTAAAGTTAGCTCATTTTGCGCCTTGATGAAAACAGATTTGCAAAAGTTTACTTCCTTGTTTAAATTAATTTCCCTGAGAAAATTAATGTTTGATAATTCTGTAACTATTATTTTTCAATGATATATTCTTGATAATAATTTTTTAATTTGGTTAAGATACAATAATCCAATGTTCTTTGTAATTCTCTTTTAGCTAGCTAGACAATTTGTCACTTCAGATGATTTATAGAATCTCTTTGTAGTTACGTTAAAACCATGCAAAATTGCTCGAACAATTACTACACAATATGTTGCTTATGATTTGCAAGCGTTGTTAGGGTTTTGACTAATTTCATCCTTATTTGGCACTTGTTGTAATTCTTCCAATATCTTACTTTCTTAATATATGGCATTTTTGGTAATTGTTCAAAGTCTTGTACAAGCTGCCATTTTAGAGTCTTAACCTCTGTCTTATGTGTTTACTTGTAGGTTCAAAGTATTATGTGTGTGAAATTCTGGTGTTACTTATAAATGATTATCTAAAAGTAACCATTAAATATTGTTCTTTTAAGTGATGATTGTAAGGACGTGTCTAAAGTGTAAATTTTGTTTTTCCTTACTTAATGCATAAGAGGAACCAGCAGCGTTGGATCTTATAATTGTTTTTGTTTTTCGTGGGTAGAATAGATTGATTAATGTGGCAGTATAGTCTTTGATGTAAAAGACAAATGCGGAAAAGAGAATTTCATTCAGGTGCCATGTCATCATACACGCACACACACACGGGCCCGGTGACTGGAAATAAGGGACTACAGGTTAGATTTGGCAAAAATGATTCATCATATATGGACACTTGTAGGATTAATAAGCCATCTTTCTTATGTCTTTATCATATAAATTGGAAAATATTCTCTCAATAGATATATCTATGACCAATTTAAATTATCTATCTTTAAGCCTTAAATTTTTTTTTATAGGTGATATACCTGAAGGAATTGGGAAATTGGACATGCTTCAAGAGCTATATCTTGATTATAATAATTTACAAGGTATTTTTTTTCATCAAGTTATGATATTCTGCCTACTATAGCTTTTTTTTTTCTCTAGTTGTTTTCTTACTATTACTATGAACAACAAAGCATTTTCTTTTCCTACTTTTCCTTTTGTTTATAAATTTGTGTATGAGTGAAATTTTCTTTTCTAACAATTTAAATATAAAAATAAGTCTTTAGTTTTTGTTGGCCAAAAAAAGCTTTCTTTTCGAATAATTTTAGAAATGCTAGCAAAGATGTCTTGTGGAGTATTTTGTTCGTTTGGAATAGATGAAGCTGTTATTGTATATTGGTGACTTGGAGTATTGTGTAAAGCTTTATTTCTTTATAATCATTTTGCATCCAATTAATTCTTTAGTCCATATTTCAGTTTACAAAAAATGTATTGAAAAGCTTCAGCACATGTAAAAAAGCATGTTTTTCTTTTCATGTGGTTTATTATGCATCATGACAAACAGTTCTAATGACTCTAAAAATAAATTATTACACTATGAAATCATGATATACTTAATATCTGTGATAATTAAGTATTTTTAAACAAAAAGTATGTTTTTTGATTAATTCATTCCCACCTAAAACATCCCTCAGTTTCCATGTATGATGCCTATCACATGAATTGTATCCGCACGATTTATAATGCATCATCACTCTTAATGATGTGCTTTTTTATGTTTTCATGTATGCAGGAGATATTCCTGAAACAATTTGCAATCTTACAAGTATAAAAATAATGGCCCTAGATGTTAATTAATATTTTCTAGCTTTTTAAATAAATTTATCAGCGCCTTTGTTGGAAACATTTTTTTTTCCTTTCTGTCCGTTTACATTTGGGTTTTTTAATCATATCCCAAAGAACAATTCCAAGGAAATGGGTGATCTTCTAAATTTAAAAATATGAACCCATTCACATAAGTGCCCATGATTTTCTTTGTCTTGCTTTCTACCTTTTGGAGTCTTGGTGCTCTTGAAAGCAATGTGGAAGTCATTATTTACATTTATATCTTCATTATCTTTGATCGTTGTACTTTAGATCCCTCAACTACACATTCATATTTGTAGTTCACATACACAAGAATTGTGTTGTGAAATTTCCAACACTTTGGTGTCCATCAAAGAGGGAAGTGTTACTATTTTTACCTCTGTTTTTTGGGCTTGAAAACATAAGTAAATATATAAAACTATTTTTGATTCCAAGAAGATTTACCCTTCCAACTCCATTCATGCTCTTTTCTTTTGAGTCTCTTTATAGTTTTTTAATTTTACACTTATTCTCATGAAGAGTTTTCTTTTACTTCTCTTCATAGATAGATTAGAGCTATTGAACGAATAAATTTGTCTTTGTCCTTGTGAGCTCCCTTTTTGTTTTCCACATCAACATTTTTTTTAATACTACTAGGATTTCTCTTTCCCTCATTGCTTGTTTAGAATGCTAAGTTTTGGGGCAATATCGTGCGGAAATTTTTTTGTTGAGAATGAATTTTTCTTTAATACTACTAGCTAGGACTTCTCTTTCCCTCACCTTTTTTAACACGTTTTTTTTTTTTTTTGGTTTCCATCATAGCTTGTTTAGAATGCTTGTTTATAAATTTTTTTTTAAGTTTGTCTGAGGTGGATTTTTTTATTGAATTGTAGAATCTTTTTCTTTGCTACAAACATCTTTATAATTTTAGCTCGGACTCCTTTAAATGAGTCTAAGCCTATGCCCTCCAAGTTAATTCTTCAACTTG